ATCATAAGCATAGCAGTGCTCCTATGACCACAAGCAAGTAATATATAAATAATTACGCAAATGCAACACCACACCTGATCATGAATATAAATTCTAGAGAAAGTCCGGAGATTCGCACCGTGGCTGGTCCCAGGATTGAGAGGGTTGACCTTATTCTGAGAGATTAAAATAGCTGAAATTGACGACTGTAGTGGATAGAAGGATCAGGGGAAAAACATGATAACAACGTACAAGATGTTCAGAGGACTGGATAGGGGTGACAGGAACAAAATGATTAAAAAGCAGGATCAGTGATAAGGGGTGTGAAGGGAAGCTGCGTAGAATGGTAGGTATTGTCAACAAGTATAAGAATACAGGTATTGCGGACAGTGTGGTAGAGACTTTGTGAAGCGAAAGTCTATAAAGACTGTATGCTGTCTCGCTCTTAACAGAACGCTACGCACCAAAAAATACTAGGAAAATACTTCTTCAGCCTCCGGGTAGTCAGGAGGTGTAATGAGCTAGACAAGGAGTGGTGGGAGCAAACACCATGCTCAGTTTTAAGGGACGGTTTCAGGAACATGAAGCAGGAAACTAGTGGAACCTGTCGTTATAATGTTTGGATCCGAGACTCGACTCCATCAACCATAATTAGACTCTCTCTCTCTCTCTCTCTCTCTCTCTCTCTCTCTCTCTCTCTCTCTCTCTCTCTCTCTCTCTCTCTCTCTCTCTCCTCTCTCTCTCTCCTCTCTCTCTCTCTCTCTCACACACACACACACACACACACACACACACACACAGAGGAATGATAAGGTTCATGGAGCAGGGAGAGATTGAACCTAGTGGCGACTAGTGAAGAGGCAGGGCCAGGAGCTATGCCTCGACCCCTGCAACCACAATTAGGGGAGTATACACACACCAAATGTACAGAAGTAATGGATACAGAGGAATGAGGAAGGAGAAAGCAGAATAGTAATGAAAGTAGGAAAGTGAAAGTGGAAGACAGAAAGGCACGAGAGTATAGAGAGAACTGAGTGGGAAAAGTGAATATGATAACTACGTAACCTTTTTTTCTTGGTTATTATTATTATTATTATTATTATTATCCCCTGCCCCGCTTTTTTCTGTAACCTACTGATCGCCCCTCTTCCCTTCTGCCGCCCAATACCCTCGCTTCCTTTCCTACCCTGCAGCGCTGTATAGCCCTTGTGGCTTAGCGCTTCTTTTTGATTAAAATATTAATAGTAGTAGTATACAATACCGACAGGTTGGTAGGTAAGACAGCAGTTGGATATGCTGAATGTTGAAGACAGAGTAAAACAACTGAAGCTATGTCATGTTTATAAAATTGCTCACAAACAGTGTCCAGAATATCTTGCTGTCAATTTTGTCAAGGTTGGGAACCAAAGCAATCATAGTACTAGGGGGAGAGAGCACAACTTTGTAGTACCCACAGTCAGTGGCCAGGCTTCAAACACCTTTTATTGCAGAGCAATAAAGGAATGGAACAGACTGCCCGCACATGTGAAAGCCAGTCATAGCATGAACCAGTTCAAGAAGAGTGCCAACAGTTGTCTGATGAATGTAGCTACAGAAAAGGAGGGGAATAATTTTTTATTTTTTAGCTAACACACGTGTAATTTTTACCATATTCCTAGTAATGACCCTCGTATTGTAGATAGTCTTAATGATCCTCGTGTAGTGGCTTTAGCCACCAGGCCCGGTGGCCTGGTGGCTAAAGCTCCCGCTTCACACACGGAGGGCCCGGGTTCGATTCCCGGCGGGTGGAAACATTTGACACGTTTCCTTACACCTGTTGTCCTGTTCACCTAGCAGCAAATAGGTACCTGGGTGTTAGTCGACTGGTGTGGGTCGCATCCTGGGGGACAAGATTAAGGACCCCAATGGAAATAAGTTAGACAGTCCTCGATGACGCACTGACTTTCTTGGGTTATCCTGGGTGGCTAACCCTCCGGGGTTAAAAATCCGAACGAAATCTTATCTTATCTTAATAAGATAACCTTTATATTTTAATAATAAGGTAAAAGGACCCCAATGGAAATAAGTCACTCTGTCTGACTTTTTTGGGTTATCCCAGATTCTCTACACATATGCTGCTATGTATCATAATCTCTATAACTGTATTTGTGTATACCTGAATAAACTTAATTAACTTGTCCCAAATAAATTTACTATAGTTGTGTAGTCAAGCTATCAATCTACGTTTTCTGTAAATTGTGTTCAGCTGTAATCAAAGAAAATGAATGCTTATCTATATATTTAGAGAAGATTTTTTAGAATAACCCCAAGGGATATTACTATTTTAATTTAAGCATACTAATCCAATTTAGTGGCCCAGGATAACCCAATAAAGTCAGTGAACCTGAGGCCTGTCTTATATCCAGTGGGATCCTTCAGACCCCAATGGAAATAAGTCACTGTCTGACTTTTTTGGGTTATCCTAGGTTCTCTACACATATGCTGCTATGTATGATAATTCTATGTAACTGTATTGTGTATACCTGAATAAATTTACTTACTTAGTCCTCTCCCCAGGATGCGACCAACACCAGTCAGTGACTCGACCCTTGCAACCTCAATTGAAAAAAAGTCACTTTGTCTGACTCTTCGGGCTTAGCCTAGGTTCTCTACACATATGCTGCTATGTATGATAATCTGTGTAACTGTATTTGTGTATACCTGAATAAACTTAGCCTGAGGCTAGGTGAAAGGGGCAACAGGCGTAATGAAGAATGTTCAATGTTCCACGTGTGCCAGGGATAGATCCCGTCCCTTAGTGTGTGAAATGAGGATGCTACTGAGCCCGAGATGTTCAGGCATGCTAGTGGCTTTCTTTGTGCTTAACAAATATTTCTTGTCATGTGAAACTAACAGAAATAAAGTTTGGAAATAAATGGTATGAAATACCGACACAATGGAAATATAAACACATATGCAGTATAATGTGATCCTTTATCGACTACGTTTCGCCAACACAGTGGGCTTTTTCGTCACAAACAGAACTGTTTGTGACTTGAAAAAGCCCACTGTGTGGGCGAAACGTAGTCAATAAAGGATCACATTATACTGCATATGTGTTTATATTTCCAGAAATAAAGTTTATATTTGTACGAATTACTGCTTTTTTTTTCTCCCGTATTACCACATTTATATAAAAGGAATCGCAAAACCCGTAGGGGTTATACAGATTCTGGGAAATGGGAGGTAATAGGTTTATTCTAAGCCGTGAAAAACAGCTTGAATTCGTTGGATCAAGAGCCCTTAAGCATGAAAGCACCCTCTTTAAGGGTGTGCCGATAGAACGTCTTATCACTTAAGATTGTGTTTGAATTTTTAACCCCGGCGGGTTAGCCACACAGAATAATCCAAGAAAATCAGTGCGTCTTCGAGGACTATTGTGGTCCATCAGTCTTGTCCCCCCAGGATGCGACCCACACCACATGCACATGTCACTATTTGCATAAAAATTTCTCTAGTTTGATTAAATCAGTGTTGAAAATTTGAAGTCAGTTGGATGAGGGTGTTCTCAGGTTATAAACGAAAACTTCAGGTAACCACTTAAAGGTGCCCATTTGGGATACCTGTAAACTAAAAAAAAGGTTGCCCTTGAGATAAAACTGCTTATCTACTAATTATAAACATTGTACTTCGAAGAATGTTCTTTGAATTCACTTCTGCTACAATTTTCAATGATTACCATGGATTGCAAAGTGCGGTAAGTTTATTCAGGTATACACAAATACAGTTACATAGATTATCATACATAGCAGCATATGCGTGAAGTACTTAGTATAACCCAAAAAAGTCAATGACTTATTTCCATTGGGGTCCTTTTACCTTATAATATAAAGGTGATAATATCTTATTATTATTCTATAATGAAGATAACATCTTATTATCATACTAAAAAGATTATCTACTACACGAGGATCATTAAGACTATCTACAATACGAGAGTCATTACTAGGAATATGGTAAAATTACACGTGTGTTAGCTAAAAAAAAATAAATCATTCCCCTCCTTTTCTGTAGCTACATTCATCAGACATCTGTTGGCACTCTTCTTGAACTGGTTCATGCTATGACTGGCTTTGACATGTACGGGCAGTCTGTTCCATTCCTTTATTGCTGTACAATAAAAGGTGTTTGAAGCCTGGCCACTGACTGTGGGTACTACAAAGTTGTGTTCTCTCCCCCTAGTACTATGATTGCTTTGGTTCCCAACCTTGACTAAATTGGCAGCAAGATATTCTGGACACTTTTATGAACATGATTTAGCTTCAGTTGTTTTATTGTCTTCAGCATTCAGCATATCCAACTGCTGTAATTCATTCTGGCCTACATGCTCTCTTGGACCCAGGTCCAGGATGAATCTTACCATTTTGTTCTGGGTGATTTGCAGTCTAAGTTTTTTTGTCAAGGCAGAGTACCATGAAGAGCAAGCGTAATCCATATGATATCGTATAGGGTTAGACATAGGGTCCTGCGAGCCTCAGTAGGTAGACACTGTGCTTGTCTATAGAGGAATTTCAGTCCGGCATTCGCTTTCTTTACTACACTGTTCCCTATCAATTCTCCTGACATGCATGGGTCAAAGGGGATTCCCATATATTTTACTGAGGAAACTGAAGTGATGGGCTCCTCATTACACTGGACATTAAAATTATTTATCCTTCTCGGTTTGTTTCGTGCCAAAGAGAATGGCTTCAGTTTTCCCGAGGTGTAATAATAGTTTGTTGTCTACTAACCATTTGCTACAGGACTCCAGTTCCAGTGTTAATACATTAGCTATATCTTGTGGGTTTTTACCTGACACAAATACTTTACAAATAATTTACAGCACTTTTAGAGTTTGAATTGCAGCGGGACAATGTACCCTCACGATCTACAGGAAAGTTGACGAAAGAAAAAGGCGTCAGCTACTTATTCATTTTCTTGTGAGATATGAAGAGTGAAAAAATAGGGGATTAGATAACAGGCAATAAATTATGTTAACTTACCTTAGACATTTTTTATGGGAGGTTGATGGATTCTGGTTTCTGCTGTCTTCTATGTTGATACGTCCTTGTGATTGATGTACAAGCTGCTGCGTCGTGACCAGTAGCTGGAAAGGTGCCCGCTTAGACACAGCTTCACCCTTGTTCAGAAGGAACCCTTCTGGATTGTGATCTCTTGCTCTTGAAGATTACTCCATTGCTTCGTCTTAAGAAATACCTAATCTGTCGTTGAGTTTTAATGCACAACGATGTTTTCGCTTCATTGCCAAATGGTTTTGGTATCTATTTTTCACATAACTAGGTGGCAGTGTGGAAAATAAAGTGGAGAATTGTGTGTATAGACTGCGAGAGAGGACACATATAGCACGTCCACAACCCTTGACTGCTGGCCCAGCAGAAACGCATTAAATCAAGGTACGCCCTGTCGCTGGTGAACGATAAGTTATCTCAAGTAAACGCTGATAACAATCTGTGTTATTTTTTTCCTTTTCCACTTTTGGGTGTAGGTTTTGCTGATGTTCAGTTCGCTTAACTCCTTTATTAAATTAATGGCAATTTGTATAAAGAAATACAAATGTATGGTAACTACACAATGTGGTGTGGAGAAGTCTTAGACGCAGACTTTTGTAAACAGAATCTTGTCGAAGGTGAGATATCGGATCATATCGAAGGTGAGATATCGCATCATATCGGAGATATCGCATCTTATCGAAGGTGAGATATCGCATCATATCGAAGGTGAGATATCGCATCATATCGAAGGTGAGATATCGCATCATATCGAAGGTGAGATATCGCATCATATCGAAGGTGAGATATCGCATCTTATCGAAGGTGAGATATCGCATCTTATCGAAGGTTAGATATAGCAGATACCAAAATTACTACAGGCGTCTCTAGAGTCAACGTTAGTAGTGCAATCATAACGGCAAAGCATTATTTTTGGGAAGGTCATAGCTGACGCTAACCCGTAGAAGTCATATGACGCCAGGGCCATGGGAAGTAGTCAGGACTGAAACGAGGAAAAGGATGGTAGATCTAATTGAAGAAAGAGCCGTTCACCACTATCAACATTGTCCACACTGAAGGGACAAAAGCAGAAAAGCAGAGAAAAAGAGACAAGGCAGCTTGACAGATCAGACCATTAACCAAGACGCCTGGTCTGGGACTGGGCCGAGGGGAAAGTGATAACCAAAATCCTCTTCAGGTCAGTGAATAACTGATTGTACCCTTCAGTACACTGCAGTTTTACTAATTCCTTTGCACCATCCACTTTTATTATTGTGTTTGAGTTGTAACTCAACTGAGCACTGGGTTCACAACGAAAGGGTCCCAGTAGAGATTCCCAAGGTAAGATGTATGGGTTATTTTCTTTCACCTACAATCCACACTCATCTCGCAGTAAATAGATAACTATGTGTAAGCTGACTGTTGTGGGTCACATCCTACTGGAAGAACAGGAAGGCCGTCAAGTGAGATAAGCCACACTACTTGGCTTTGGGTTATCCCGGTTTATTTAACAATGTGGAGTTCATAAACTAAATGCTGCTTCTACATGCCGATGCTGTCGAAGCTAAGGTTGTGCTGTATTGTATTTCGTGAAGCGATAAACCCGTGTGGATCACTCAGCACAAGGAGTGATGAAGGGACGATCGTCAGTCCCCAAATCACAGTACAGTTTCTGATCAGTTAGCCGTTAGGGTGTTCATGACTACCTGGAGGGTATAAGGGGATCAACGCCCCCGCGGCCCGGTCCACGACCAAGCCTTCTGGTGGAGCAGGGCCTGATCAACCAGGCTGTTACTGCTGGCTGCACGTCAAAACTGTTGTGCGTCAAAATTTAATTTTTAAAGAGGGGAGGATTTTTTGATTGGATACATCCTTAGTGTGCTGTAACCCTATCCTACTCCCCTCAAGGAAGGCTCCTTGACGCTGGTGAGGGGCTCTTGATCTAGGGAATTGGATCTGTGCTCCAGTTGGATCTGTGCTCCAGTTCCCTGAATTAAGCCTGAATGCCTTCCATCCCCCCATAGGCGCTGTATAATCCTACGGGTTTAGTGCTTCCCCCCATGATTATAATAATAATAATGTAACCCTATCCTATGTGACAGTTACAATGTGGAAACAAAAACTGACTGTGTTTACCTGTCAACGGATCTGGGAAAGGGGTAATGTAAGGATGCTGAAGGTAAGGAGGAGCAGGTCACCATCATTCCTTGCTCTGAGTGATCCACACTGGTTTAGCTCTTCGCAAAAAGTGTACACCGTATCCTGCCCACCTCGGGGCCACTTGAACTGTAGTTAAACAACGAGAGAAGCATCAGCTGGGGGTAACGACAGGTAGCAGGCAGGTGTGTGAAGAAAGGATGTTGACGGAAGAGTACCCTTGATTTTTCTCTCTCTCTCATCTGTGCTCCAGTTCCCTGAATTAAGCCTGAATATCTTCCACATTTCCCCCACAGACGCTGCATAATCCTACGGGTTTAGCGCTCCCCCTTGATTATAATAATCTCTAAATACTTTCCTTGTGGTTTTTGTACTTAACTAATTTGAAAAATATAAGAAATTCAAGCATGCCTTACAATGTTGCATGGCCAGTATTACCTGGAGAGGGTTTCGGGGGTCAACGGCCCCGCGGCCCGGTCTGAGACCAGGCCTCGTGGTGGATCAGGGTCTGATCAACCAGGCTGTTGCTGCTGGCCACACGCAAGCTGACGTACGAACCACAGCCCGGTTGGTCAGGTACTGACTAGTCACGAGGGAGCATTCACCAAATTCAACTTCAATAACAAAAACATAAAGTGGGACCAAGTAAACCAACTCCTAACCGATATAAGCTGGGAAGATACCAGTGAATAGCAGAATACAGTGTTGTAGTAGCAACTAACCAGTATTATAATGGTACTTAGTGAAGTGGAGTGACTTTCATTAGTTTCTTTTTCTTGAAATACCAGACGTTACTGTGAATTTCATATAACCTGTAGTTACCAGCGGTCGCAATATACACAACGAGAAGCAATTATTACTACAGAAAAAGCGCCCTTCCTCCAAAATTTGCACCAGTCAACTATAGTGATAATATAGCATTTATTGTGGTGGAGACGGAAAAAAAAAAAAAAAATAGAGAAGCTAGATACAGCGATTGATAAACAAAGGTGGAGGCTCGACCGTTCGTCATTGTAGGAGTGCCAGCAGTCACCGGCTCTTCAACACGCAAGTTATACTTTTGTATCAATCAAATCACATATTACTCGGGTAGATAATTTCCAGTAGATCCTTCATGTGTTAGCTCAAATCACCGACCAGTATGGTTTAAATAAGTGACCCACTGATCAGATCAGATAGACTGGTCCGAACCCTTGACTGGTCCGAACCCTTGACTGGTCCGAACCCTTGACTGGTCCGAACCCTGGACTGGTTTTCAAACGGTTTCGTTGTGTACCACCTAGCAGGTTATTAATAGAATATTCAAGAGGTTGCTAGTAGAATTGCAGTAAATCAACCATTCAAATCATTATGAAGCTGTGTGTAGTCTGTGGTCAGTCAAACAAACGGGCTTCCACATGCATAAATTGTCATTTCTGTGGAAATTGGTGTCACGCCCCTTGTGCAGATATCCAAGAACTAGCTACAAGCAGTATTAAAACAGGGAAGTGTTTTTGGGTATGCCCAAATGAGATAAATCTGTGGACTAAAATCACAAGGGTATTAAAAGAGGTCAACATCAAAGCTGCTTTCATAGAAAACCTGGAAGCTTTCTACAACAGATGGGAACATAAAAAGTCCGGGCTGAATGGTACTGCCCTTGATACTGGCCATGTAGTCAGAAACTGTAAGGCTGGAGATGATGTCCTGGTAGTCAGTAAATGGGGGGCTGATAGTGCTGTCCTGGGAGACAGTAATGGGGAAGCTGGAGGTGCTGTCCTGGAGACAGTAATGGTGAAGCTGGAGGTGCGTCCTGGGAGACAGTAATGGTGAAGCTGGAGATGCTGTCCTGGGAGACAGTAATGGGGAAGCTGGAGATGCTGTCCTGGGAGACAGTAATGGTGAAGCTGGAGATTTTGTCCAGGTAGTCGGGAATTATACGCAGGAAGGAATACATATGAATGACCGCATAGGGGACAGGAGCCATAGTAGGGAAACAAGTGTAGTCAAAGATAAGATAAAACCAATATTGCAAACTAGAAATACCGCAGGAAATAGCAAACAAGAGGACTCCACTAGCAATAGTGAGGATATATTACCAAAAACAAATGGTGGGAGCTCCATTGTTGGTGCTAGGGAGGATAGAAGTAAGACAGGGAAACATGCACCAACAGGGAATACAGTCACAGAAACCCAAGGCAAACGGAAACCAAGCCTGTGCACATACTATGCACTCGGTATCTGCTGGCATGGGAAATTCTGGAAAAACAGATGGGACGTGCAACTATGACCACCCTAGGAAATGCCATGCCCATATGACAACAGGAAAATGCAAACTCCCTTCCTGTAAGCTTTTTCACCCTGAACTGTGTACCTCTTCAGTACAGGAAAGACTGTGCTATAACTTAAATTGCCAGGCATACCATCTAAAGGGGACAAAAAGATACAAAACATCCAGGCCATGGGAAAACCTGGGTAGCCACAGCCACTCAAGAGGGAGAGGTTTTTTAGTGCCAGGAAGGAAAAAAAACTGGCAGGAAATGGCAGAAATCGTACACCAAATCCAGTCATTCCTGGAGTGGAACCACAGTCGATGGCCTCCACTCCAAACCAACAGATACAGATACTAATGCCGGAAAAAAAATCCCCCCCAGTACCAACAATACCACCAGTCCGATAACATTCTTCTTTGCAAATATACAGGGTCTAAAGCCAGCAACAAACAACAAAATACCTTTCATCCGTGGACTGCTTGCAGAGGCAAAGGCAATGTTCGCGGCTTTCACTGAGACCCACATAAAGGATCACTTGGACAAACGAAAATGGATCCCAGGTTACAACCTATACAGATGTGACAGAGTGAACAGCAAAAGGGGGGGGTTGGCCTGTACATTGCAGAGTCACTTGTTTGCACAGAACTGCTAAATGCCTCAAATGATGTAGTGGAAGTTTTAGCAGTAAAGGTCGAGAACCAAAACCTAGTCATTGTGATAGTCTACAAGCCTCCGGATGCAACATCCCAGCAATTCCAGGAACAGCTGTTAAAAATTGACCACTGTCTGGAAAACCTTCCAGCTCCCGCACCCAACATCTTGCTCCTGGGGGATTTCAACTTAAGGCACCTAAAATGGAGGAATATAGCAAATAATATTGTTGCAGTAATAACACCAGGAGGCAGCTCTGATGAAAACTCACACTCACGCGAGGTTTTAAATCTCTGCACAAAATTCAATTTAAACCAGCA